AGGTCTCTTTGTTAAAACTGTTTAAAGCAATTCTGTGAATATGTAAACAGTTATATAGACTATTTGAAACACTGCAAAAGAAGACAAAAAATGGCATTAACGTTAAACCTTTACATCTACGGACTGGACCTGAGTAAATATTTCTTATGATGTGTGGTTCATAGATGTTTGTGGAGAGAAAGCAACTGCTGAATGCATTTTGCATATATGTATTGAATAGGATGTCTGTAAGATGGGGGAAAAATAAAGTATGAAAGTGTCGGAAGGGTAAAAAATGTTCTCATTAATAAAAATCTTAACTGGGTCTGATTCTTTATTTACTTCACGTTCCCCAGCTGCAGTTACCTTTATAGGTTTCATTTTGATTTCGGGTAAGAGTTCTGTCTTGATCACCACTACGATAAAGTAACAATTAAGGAACACAGGGTGGCAGAAATGTTTAAATATTGAAAAGATTTGAGCAGAAACACTTGACGCTTAGAAGACAGTGAGTTTCCGTTCATCATTGCTAAAATGTGTGTTTGCCAAGTATGTTTAAAAAGTTGATTTCTGAAGATGAAGCTGCATTCCTTGTCGACGATAACACACACTTTCTCGAAAACATATTCAAGTGGACAATCGACTACAAACAACTGAAACAAAAAACGACAGTCCTGCGAATAAGCGGCCATTCACACCGAATATCTTTCTTATAATTCAAAAATATAACCGAATATCTTTCTTATAATTCTTATAATCTCAAAATTGATCAGTAACTATAAATGACAATTTAGACAATTTAAACTAAATTTGTAGTCCTGTTACCCATTCTATCAAAGTTTATTTATTTGATACATTTTGTTTATGTTATCAAATCACAGTCATGTGGTTGTAAAAAAAAATTGCAATTCACTTTCAGCGGATAAAATAAAAATGAACTATATTAGATTAAGATTATGCTAATGACTGTTTTCTCTGAGCACTATAGCACTGAACCAGCATTCACGTGTCATACTGCTGCTACCTGCTGCTGGTTATGCCTGTAGATACAGTTGTGAGAGTAAACATCCAGGAGAAAAAGGCAAGTATTCACTGGCAAAAGTTTTTATTCAGCATGATATCTAAATATATTTAGATTAATTAAAAGTCTGATTATTATTATTAAAACTGTTAAGACTTATGATGAAGAAATGTATTGCGTTGAATCAACACTTAAACCTCAGAATATAGTAGGATATTGTATTACTGTGTGAACTGTGCCTGTTTTCCTTATGTAAACACTATCCATTTCTATACATTCCTTGTAGTCTATAGTGTATGTGTCTGAGCATGTGCTTACATGATCACACTGCTGTGCTACTTATGGTGACACTGAAGAGCTCATATATTGTAACTAATATTGCAAACTAGTTTATATTATAATCTTGTATTATACTGTACTTTAATGTTTGTATTTGAACCTACTTGAATTTATTTTTGGTTTCAGTCCTGTTTTCATTGCAGCAGATCACAGTGTGTACTCATTCATTAAGACATCAATTTAGGATCAAACAGACTGCTTATTTATTGTTGTGTTGTAGGTCAATACCATGAGTTCTAGCATTTTACTTGACCTGATGTCAGTTACATAATCAATATTTTCCCTTCCATATGTTGCTTTATTGCATTTATGAGCAGCTATCTAGTGGGAAAATAGCACAACATTTTTTTTTAAGTTCATTGTCAGGTTAGTAAAGCATTTTTGTAAATATGTTATTTTGTTTCACTTCACTGAAGGGGTGGCATGAGAGTGTCAGAAATGGACCATACTGGTTTATACATTAGAGCTGTTTTGCTAGCATGATATTAGGAAGGTGGTATTAATGTTGTGGGTGATGTCATGTGTATTTATGTTAGCAAAATGTTCTGTGTTTACTCTAATAGCAAATGAAACCATTTTTTTCCATTGAAACACCCAGCCTGGTTTTTCTTGTATCACCTGATATTAGATATGTGATTTAGGACTGGTTATAAATCACTGTTTGCAGTATACTTTGCCATCTTTAACATACACTTTAACTGCCTCTTTGGCTTCCCTTGCTCCCCTTTAGTTAGACTGGGATCATGGATGAAGAATGAGCAAAATTAAAGTCCATCTGCACACTGTTTCTCATGGCACTGTAATGTCATGTCTGATAATCTATGGACATTGCTTTTTTACAAATAATATTTGAAAATCGTTGAATGACTTTAAACTATTTCATTCCCATTTTTAAATAGCCTACTATTTACGCATATCATCATTTACAATCACAATTTTTATTTTTAAGCTAGACTTAGCTTTGTTGGCTGTTTGTGAAATACTCGATGATCTTTATTTTCGCTTTGCTGATATAGCATCGCATAGCTTCTCTGGTTTCTGTAGGACTGGTTGCAAAACAGGAGGCTCCGCAATTATTTATGAGCGTTCTTAAACTCCAGTTTGAGGGAATTTGGGGCTACATTACTTGTGATTTGGTACCAGAATAAAAAATTATAAGCATCATTGGCCATAAATTGCTCGTTAAACATGACAGGTGCATAGGGAGTGTCTTTTGCACGTGATGTCTTCCCATACCAAACTGACTGGAGTTTTATATCGCGCAGTTAGATCGTTCAAACGGCACGTCGCATTGTGGAGTCCGGGAGTTGCGACTAAATTGTGAAGAATAGGCTATGTCTCGGAACACTCGTGTCTTTTGGCTGTGTATATTGATCTCAGATGGTAGGTTGTATTTCATTTATATGTGCGTCTCACGGGATTGTTTGCCCTTTGTGTTTTATTAATTAAAAACAAAATAATGTGGGTATAGAACAAGACTAACATACTTAGAAAAATAAAGTAGATTTTTAGTGAAAGTCTTTTTAGCCAAATGTTTTGTTTTAGGTGCGTTTGGTGGTACAGAAGGCGTGAAGTCGGTATCAGTGGTGGAGGGAGATTCTGTCACTCTAAACACTGGATTATCCAATATGCAGGATCACATATTATTAGAGGAATTCGAAAACATTGACATGTTTAGTCCTGTGACGCATATTATTGTACCTAGATATCAATAATTGTACTGCCATTGCTGTGCCTGCTTTTTACTTTCACAGTGTTGCTAAAGATAAATGTTACTTTGTACAATATTCACATTAAATTCCTGCAAATGTAATGCAAAATGTACTACTAATTGCTCTCCTGCAGCAAAACATGACAATACTTTTGTAGGATACTATAGACTATAGTAGGATATTGTATTACTGTGTGAACTGTACCTGTTTTCCTTATGTAAACACTATCCATTTCTATACATTCCTTGTAGTCTATAGTGTATGTGTCTGAACATGTGCTTACATGATCACACTGCTGTGCTACTTATGGTGACACTGAAGAGCTCATATATTGTAACTAATATTGTAAACTAGTTTATATTATAATCTTGTACTTTAATGTTTGTATCTGAACCTACTTGAATTTATTTTTGGTTTCAGTCCTGTTTTCATTGCAGCAGATCACAGTGTGTACTCATTCATTAAGACATCAATTTAGGATCAAACAGACTGCTTATTTATTGTTGTGTTGTAGGTCAATACCATGAGTTCTAGCATTTTACTTGACCTGATGTCAGTTACATAATCAATATTTTCCCTTCCATATGTTGCTTTATTGCATTTATGAGCAGCTATCTAGTGGGAAAATAGCACAACATTTTTTTTTAAGTTCATTGTCAGGTTAGTAAAGCATTTTTGTAAATATGTTATTTTGTTTCACTTCACTGAAGGGGTGGCATGAGAGTGTCAGAAATGGACCATACTGGTCTATTTTGCTAGCATGATATTAGGCAGGTGGTATTAATGTTGTGGGTGATGTCATATGTATTTATGTTAGCAAAATGTTCTGTGTTTACTCTAATAGCAAATGAAACATTTATTTTTTCCTTTGAAACACCCAGCCTGGTTTTTCTTGTATTACCTGATATTAGATATGTGATTTAGGACTGGTTATAAATCACTGTTTGCAATATACTTTGCCATCTTTAACATACACTTTAACTGCCTATTTGGCTTCCCTTGCTCCCCTTAAGTTAGACTGGGATCATGGAAGAAGAATGAGCAAAATTAAAGTCCATCTGCACACTGTTTCTAATGGCACTGTAATGTCATGTCTGATAATCTATGGACATTGCTTTTTTACAAATAATATTTGAAAATCGTTGAATGACTTTAATTTTTAAATAGCCTACTATTTACGCATATCATCATTTACAATCACATATTTTTGTTTTTAAGATAGACTTAGCTTTGTTGGCTGTTTGTGAAATACTCGATGATCTTTATTTTCGCTTTGCTGATATAGCATCGCATATTCTCTGGTTTCTGTAGGACTGGTTGCAAAACAGGAGGCTCCGCAATTATCTATGAGCGTTCTTAAACTCCAGTTTGAGGGAATGTTGGGCTACATTACTTGTGATTTGGTACCAGCATAAAAATTATAAGCATCATTGGCCATAAATTGCTCGTTAAACATGACAGGTGCATAGGGAGTGTCTTTTGCACGTGATGTCTTCCCATACCAAACTGACTGGAGTTTTATAGCGCGCAGTTGGATCGTTCAAACGGCACGTCGCATTGTGGAGTCCGGGAGTTGCGACTCAATTGTGAAGAATAGGCTGTCTCGGAATGTCTTTTGGCTGTGTATATTGATCTCAGATGGTAGGTTGTATTTCATTTATATGTGCGTCTCACGGGATTGTTTGCCCTTTGTGTTTTATTAATTAAAAACAAAATAATGTGGGTATAGAACAAGACTAACATACTTAGAAAAATAAAGTAGATTTTTAGTGAAAGTCTTTTTAGCCAAATGTTTTGTTTTAGGTGCGTTTGGTGGTACAGAAGGCGTGAAGTCGGTATCAGTGGTGGAGGGAGATTCTGTCACTCTAAACACTGGATTATCCAATATGCAGGATCACATATTATTGTGGAATTATGGACCTCACACTCTCATTGCTGAAATCATAAAAATGGCCAACCTGAGCTTTATGTATGATGGTAAATTCAGAGACAAACTCCTTGTGGACAGCCAAACTGGATCTCTTACCATCACAAACATCAGTATTGCACAGTCTGGACTTTATAGACTTCAGATCATCAGTCGCCAAATAACTATAAAGAGATTCAACGTTACTGTCTATGGTGAGTATGCTAATACATTTTAATTACCGGAAACACATTTAATGTCCTTTTCCTTCACTGAGGGATGCGGGAGATGTCATGATGGAGAAGTGTACAGATTTACATGATAGACTCTAGCTTAATAAGATTTGTGAGACATTTCCAGGCACTTGGAAGTACAGTTAGAAACTCAGTCTTACGTTTCACAGACTATGGTTAAAGAGATAGTACACCACAAAATTAAATTTTTTTAAAGCATTTACCCTCAAGTTGTTCCAAACTTGTATTATTTCTTTCTTATGGTGAACACAAAAGATGATATTTTGAAGAACCTAACAGTTGCTGGTAGCCATTGACTTCCATCGTATTTTTTTTTTCAATGGGGACCATCAACTGTTTAGTTACCAACATTCTTCAAAATATCTTCTTCTGTGTTAAACAGAATAAACTTATACATGTTTGGAACAACTTGAGGGTGAGTAAATGATGACGGAATTGTTATTTTTGAGTGAACTATTCCTTTAAGGGTTAGTTTTTTGTGTGTGTTTATGTACTGCACCCGCAGCCAGGGTTGCCCTGTTCTGTATTAGCTTGGACATCCCATATTGACATGGCTTATTTCAGTGAAAGCAAGCAATCATACCCTCAGCAGACAACTATAAACGGTTTGTTCATGAAGTCTTTGCATTTTTCTTTTTTTTCCAGAACTGCTACCCATTCCCAGCATTATTAGGGATTCTTTACAGTGTTCTCCATCATCTTCATTGTCATCAAATCACAGTTGTTCACTGGCATGTTCAGTGTTGAATGTGAGTGATGTGACTCTCTCCTGGTACAAAGGAAACAGTTTATTGTCCAGCATCAGTGTGTCTGATGTTGAATGTGAGTGATGTGACTCTCTCCTGGTACAAAGGAAACAGTTTATTGTCCAGCATCAGTGTGTCTGATCTCAGCATCAGTCTCTCTCTACCTCTGGAGGTGGAATATCAGGATAAAAACACCTACAGCTGTGTGCTCAACAATCCCATCAGCAACCAGACCAAACATCTGGACATCAGTGGACTCTGTCAGCCACGTGCAGGTACGTCAGTGGTGGTAATAGAGTCTGTTTAGGCTGCTCTATTGTTCTTTGTAGGACAGGACTGATATTTGTATTGTACTGTTGTACTGTATTACTGCTACTTTCCTGTAACTCAAACAGTAGAGCACAGCACTAGCAATGCCAAAGTCATAAGTTTGATTCCGAAGTAAAGCAAGAACTTATAAAATGTGCTGTTGTCTATTTCTATTACAGAATGGAGCCACTATTTCTTTCTAATAGCACTAATACTTCCTGTAGTGCTGGCCATTATTGCAGGTTTTAAAATGACATCCTGGTTCAGCGGGAACTGTAAACGCACAAGAAGGTAATTATTATTGCACCTGTAATATTAAAAACTGAGTCTTAATTGTTAAATAAAAACAGTGCTATAAACATTGAAACACTGAAAGCTTATACAGGTGCATAAAAACTGACTGGAGTTTTAACATATGCTGTAGTTGGATAATTTGTGGTACTTCAAATGGCATGCCGCAATGTGGAGTTTGAGCGTTAAGACAACATTTTGAATAATATGTTTTTGAACACTCTTTTCTTTTGCCAGGTACATTAGGCTACAACTCCGTTCTGGGTGCAATGTGTACACAATACGGTAAGATACAGTATTACTGTAAACACTGTGTCTCTCTGTTTGTTCAGCTCCATCGCGGATCTGTGTTTGTTTGCATCGATCAGTATTTGTTTTTGCTTGCATATATATATGGGCATGATGCTATTGTTCTGTGTGTCCTTTCAGCATTCTTGCACAACAAAAACATATTAAAACTTCCCCCATTTTATTTTACAGGAATCTGACAGCAGATCACACGGTGTAATCAAGCTTTATGACAAACTGAGGATTCAGCAGTCAGTTTGTTTATTGCATTATTATTAGTTATATCCTACAATAGCTGAATCTTTTGCCACTGTATAGGGCAATGCTTCTATTTAGTGCAATATTTAGTAAGATGACCAGATTTCTGAAATGTGACCCTGGACCACAAAACCAGTCATAAATTTAAATTTTTTGAAATTGGGATTTATACATACTCTGAAAGCTGAATAAATAAGCTTTCCATTGATTTATGGTTTGTTAGGATAGGACAACATTTGACCGAGATATATATTAATATATATATATGCATATATTACTAATCAAAAATTAAGTTTTGATATGTTTACAATAGGAAATTTACTAAATATCTTTATGGAGCATGATCTTTACTTAATGTCCTAATGATTTTTGGCGTAAAAGAAAAATCAATAATTTTGACCCATACAATGTATTTTTGGCTATTGCTACAAATA